GATCCGCCGGTGAGGATGGCGGATCTGCAGCGGGCGGTGTCAACTGCGGTGCGGGAGGAGAGGGCCGCCCAGGCCCAAGGCAGCTCTCACGCCGTCGCGGCACGTGCTGCTCCCCGCCAGGCTGTTCTGCCGGTGGATCCGCCGCCTGCCGCTCCCGTCCCGTATCAGAATACTGCCCCGTCGACTCCTGCTGCCTCTGCCTCTGCTCCTGTCCCTGGGTCTCGGCTTCGCCTCCCGCCCGTTCCGCCTGTGGCGGGAGTTGAATTTGTGGCGGCGGGAAGGGGATCGCAGTGTCCCCATCCCGGCGTCGGCGGTTCTGCAACTCCCGCCCTCGAGGAGCCGTTTCAGTTTCTGGCGCAGGCATTACAGCCTCTGCAGTCCCGCGTTCCAGAGGCCACTCTCGCCCAGCTCTTCCGCCTCGCGGAGAGCTTTCACGCTCTGCTCCTGATACAGGTTCTCGCGCATTCGTCACTTCCTGCAGTTCCCCCCGAGACGTTCCAGGATCGCCACCGCGATTCGTGCCTGGATGCAGCCGACCAGCTCGTAGTGTTGCTGGCGCCCGTGCTGGCTGCGCCCGTAGAGGGTGGAGTTGCGGCTGCTGGGCAGCTCGATGAGGCTGTACGCAGCCTGAGGCGCCATTTGCGTGCAGGTTCTGGAGCCGCCGCGATCGGCGCAAGCACGCTTGTGGTCCGGGAGCTGTGGCGCTCCCTGACGGGCGTTCTTCACGCCCTCGGAGCTCACCGCATGTAGACGCGAGCTTCGGATCTGCCATTAGAGGTTTGCGCGGCTAGGCCGCGGTAGGACTTGCCATGTGTGTATTGCCGTTATGAGCAGCTCTGTGTGTTGTGCGCTTGTCGTTCCCTCACGCGCGGCCGAAGGCCGCGCTGTCGAGCGTCGGCCGCCGAAGGCGGCCGGCGCGAGCCGCTCGGTTAGGAGAAACAAAATGAAGAGAACCGAACAATGAGGAGAGCTAGCTGCAGAAGAGCCCTATATACTAGGCTGGGGAGTGCTGGAGAGGCTAAGGACTAGCTCCTAGGGCCTCTCTCTCTCTCTCTCTCTCTCTCTCTCTCTCTCTCTCTCTCTCTCTCTCTCTCTCTCCCTCTCCCTGCCCCGGCGACGAGGCTCGTTGGGGGCTACACCTCGGTGTGTCGCCAGAGAGCAAGGGATGGGAAGTTATCGACTTGACAGACAACAAGCTGGTCACGACGGTCGAGGCGATCTTCTACGAGACGATGTCCCTGGAGATGTGGAAGGTGACGCATGGGCAAGCATTGGCACGTGCGCAGACCCACTGTTTGACGGACTCCTCGACGGCGACGTTCCCACTGCTTGCCGAGGTTGACAAGGCTGCTGACGAGGACGCTGAGGTTGTCCATCCTTCTCCTCCTCCTCGTGTCCCTGCTGCACCACCTCGTGTCGCCGACTTGCCTGAGTTGACACCTTCGCCGGCCACCGGCGACGAGGGGAGCCTGCGGATGTTGCCTGAGGCACCGACCAGTAGCATCGCCAACGGCTGATGTGATGGCAAGCTCGTCGACAAGGGTGCAAAGACGCTGACAACAGGGGAGCAGCGGGCGGAAGAGATGCCGTCTACAGAGGAGCCGTTAACAAAGGAAGCGTCTGCAGAGGATACCCCGACAGGGGAGCAGCTCGACGATGGTTTGTTGAGCGACGTTGTGGAGGTTATTGGTGAACCCGAAGACGATGAAGGGGAGCTGACTGCAGGCGAGTGGTCTTTTGAGAAGGATGTGGTGGAAGTCAAAGCCGACGAGCCTAAGCTGCGACGTTCCACTCGTTCCAATCTTGGCAAGCCTCACGAGAAGCTGAGCTACCATGCTTGCCTTCCGCCGGCCTCCTACAGCACGTTGCTCGACGATGCACAGGACGACGTCGACATGCCCGAGCTCGACCCTGACGTGCACGACAACCCAGAGCACTGCTTGGACATCGCGACGGTGATCGTGAAGGAGGCATTGGCGAGCTGGAAAGGCAAGGCGGTGAAGACAGCAACGGACAAGGAGATTCGGAGCCTCATCGCCAACGACACATGGTAGCTAGTCGAACGTCCGCGCGGGGTGAACATCATGAAGAACCGGTGGGTGCTGACGACGAATTACCACATTGACGATACAGTCGCTCGCGAGAAGGCATGTTCGGTCGTAAAGGGCTTCACGCAGGTAAACGGCGCCGACTACGAGGAGACGTACGTTCCAGTCAGCAGCTACGTCACGATGAGGAACTTCCTCAGCATCGTCGCCATCCTCGACTTGCACCTGATGCAGCTCGACATGAAGAATGTCTTTTTGCAGAGTAAGCTAGACTGGGTGCTGTATATACCAGCCATACTACTATGACGATGGAACCGGCCGGGTGTGCAAGCTGCTGAAGAGCCTCTATGGGCTGAAGCAATCGCCACTGCTGTGGTACAGGGCCCTTGACGGAGTGCTGCTGGCCGCCAGCTGGAAGAAGAGCCAGGTCGACGAGGCTCTCTACTTCAAGGTCGGCAATGGAGGAGTGATGTGATGGGTGATCGTCTACGTCGACGACCTGCTCGCCGCCAGCAGCAGCCACGCGATGCTGAAGGATCTGAAGGAGCTGCTGGAGGCTGCCTTTGAATTGCGCGAGATCAGCTCGGTCCAGAAGTACCTCGGGCTAGAGATCGTACGCGACAGGTCGGCAAGGAAGCTTTGGCTGCAACAGCAGTCGTACGCCGACAAGCTGCGAAGGCGTTTCATCGACGAGGAGCAGACCGGGTGTATCCCGAAAACGCCGATCTCCGTCGACGCCTACGCGGAGCTGACATTCGATGACGAGGATGCTCAGACGCGCGAGGAGGAGGCGTACAGGCAGAAGGTCGGCTCGCTGCAGTTCGCGGCGACGACGACGTGGCCAGACATCACGTTCGCATACAACAAGCTGGGAAGCGGCCTGACGATGCGTAGCGACAACCACTAGCGCGAGGTCGACCGTTGTCTGCACTACCTTGCCGACACCTGTGACATCGTCCTGGGGTTCTGCGGTGGACCAGATTCGCTGTGCCTGGTCGGCTACGTGGACGCCGACGACGCGGGCGACAAGCAGAACTGGACGAGCACGGGCGACTACGTGTTCGTCCTTGGAGGGGCCGTAGTCTCCTGGGTGAGCCAGCGAATCAAGTGCGCGATGCTCTCCTCGACCGAGTCGGAGTACGTTGCGGCCACGGAAGCTGGCAAGGAGGCTCGTCGACTCCGGTTCCTCCTTGCAGAGTTCCAGCTGTTGGACTCTGGGCTGCCGACTATCCTTGGTGTGGACAACCAGTTGGCCATCGCTGTCGCGAAAGGCTTGGGGCTGAAGAGCAACCTCAAGCACATGGAGCGACGTTATGCCTGGCTGCAGCAGATGATGAAGCGCGGGAAGGTTGCGCTGAAGTACATCCCTACCTCTGAGCAGCCGACTGACTTTTTGACGAAAGGGCTGCACTTTCCAGCCTTCAACCAGTGCTCCCTCGCGATCGACCAAGTCCGTTTGGCTGACGTCGGCGGTGGTGACGATGATGTGCAGCAGTAGGTGCCGTGCCCTTCGGCACGGCTGGTGCGGTGACCGGCGTGCTGTGTGTTGTGTGCACGCCGAAGGATTTTCCCCGTGTATACAATCCCTTGGGTTCTGGGTGGACCTTGTGCGTAGGGTGCCCAAGCGTGAGCGCGGCAGGGGAGTGTTGAAGGAAGTTGGCCCCGCCCTCGCATGGGCAAAACCGACTTTGTGGTCAGGTTTGCGGGAGGTGCAGCCGACCTTCTGCAGGTGTACAAGGGTTGCCTGTACACGAGGAAACTAGGGAATCCATGCAAGAGTAACTGAAGCATCCGTGAGTGCAATATAGATGTCCCGTGCACATGTACAAGTGGCGCAGCTGGTGCAAAGGTTCGCGTGTGTTCATCTGCGCAGGGTCGCGTCTGACCCTGCGCACCGTTGCGAATGCACAGGTAATTTTTGGCCAAAAATTTGAGTGTGCCATAAATTCGACCAATAAGGAGCTGACATTTTGGAATGTCGACTGAGGTGGTCGACGAAGGTGGTCGACGAAGGTGGTCGACGAAGGTGGTCGACGAAGGTCGTCGACCCGCGACGACGAAGGTCGTCAGCCTAGGGTGACGAAGATCATCAACATACAGGGTTACCTGCTCGACGAGGTTCTGCGGAGGGTCACGAACGTCGTCGAGGTTGCTATGGCAAAGTCGACCGACGTGGCAGCACGTGGTCGACGTGGCGCACTAGGTGCAACCGCCAGCATGAGGGTGACAACCTGCGCAATGTGCGCGACAGTGCACGTCATGCATAACTGTCTACGAGCACCTGTGAAGTAGGCGCTTGCACATGCGCTTACAATCGCCTGCGAATGCATCGTTAACACGCCTCGCGGATGCAGCGTTGGCAAGCCGCGCGAGTGCAGCGTTGGCAGGCCGCCATTCTGCAGCGTTGGCAAGTCGCACACAAGCTGCGTTGGCGAGCCGTGGAGATGCTACGTTGGCAGGTCGAGGACTCTGTGGTGCTGGCGACCGACCTGCCTGAGCACTAGCAAACCTTGCATGTGATGTAGTCAACCATTGCCTTTACTTGTTCTCATTCTGAACTCTGTATCCTCAACATCCCTTAGTGAAGCTTATGCTGTTTCGCCCTGTGAACACACATGTGCTAGAGAACACAGACAGAGCTACGGTCACTCTGACAACTCGTGCTTACCCCATGGTCTAGCTCCCACCGTTGTAGAGTTAATCTCCTCACTACGCTGTTGAATGCGTTCTCAACGTCGAGTGCTATGGCGATACGTTCCTTATCTTAGTCGTTCTCTCTCTCTCTCTCTCTCTCTCTCTCTCTCTCTCTCTCTCTCTCTCTCTCTCTCTCTCTCTTTCCCTCCCCCCCCCCCACACCCCCCAACCACATCCTCCCGTTCTGCCCCTCCCCGCCCCTGTTCCACCCCCTCGTATGCCCTCACCTCCCACCTCCGTGCAACTAATTTTCCCCCAATGGTGCCTCCCTTGCATCGCTCGCCCCTCTGCTCACGCTCTGCAAGCCCCTTTTCCTTTCCCTCAGCCCAGCCCCTGCTCGTTGCTGCCGCTTCCCTTGCCCCCTCAACTCCCCTGCCCCCCGTACACCCCACCCTCCCCCGGCTGCTAGTTTCTGCTCTCCACCCCCGCGACCGTGTGCGGCTTCCAACCGCCCAACGGTGGTGCGCACGGGGCGTTTCCTCGCATGGGCAAGCCTCCCCGCGGGCCCCCTACCCCGCTCAATCGTTGTTCGGGCAAAAAAACGAAAAAAGAAAAATCGGACGTGCTAAAATCGTCCTTTCTTTTTCCCGCTTGCCCCTCACCAGCATGTGCCTAGCGAGGGGCATAAATGGGTACAACATGAGGACTTCTGGGGAGGTCACCGAGCCGAGTATTGCTCTCGACCACCGGCGCTGTTACCTTGACCTAGCTCTTACCTACTAAGCTAGCCTCCTAAGGAGGCTCCTAAGCCTACAATTTCGAGTTGTTTTAAGGACAAGGCGACTGTGTTAGTTGTTTCTATTAGTGGTATAAGAAGTTTTAAAGGTTTTGTCTTTTATTTTACGACGGTCTTTTTCGTCGAGACGGGGGTCGCGAGTTTCGCGCGCGACCCTCTAGACCTTCGGAAACGGTACCTACCAGGTGTAACGGGATCGACGGTCGGGCCCCACCATCGCGGAGACGTTGCGGACGCGTTACAGCGAGTGTAACACGAGGGGGTGCGGTGGCGCGAAGGTCGCCCGCGACGAGCTACATCACGCGCGGCCCACATCCCCAACTCCGCCAGACACGGTGTTCCCGCCCATCCCCCTCTCTCGAAACTCTGCTCCCATCGCCCCGCTCTAGTAATCTTCCCGCTGCTTTTCTCTCTCGAAGTAATTTTGCTTAGCTTTCGCCGTAGTTGATTCTCACGCTTAACACGGTCTATAAGCCAGCACTAAGTCTAGCTTTAACCCTCACGACTACCATCCGCGATCGACTCTTCTATTCTCCGTTTCCACCGTTCACATCGTTAACGAAACCCTAATTAAGAAACTCAAGGCGCGCGCCGCCGTTACTGTTGTTATTTCGACTCCCCGTACTAACCCCAAACACACGGGGTGTTTAGCGCCACGGAACGCCAGCGCGGAGAGAGGCGAAATTGCTACGCTAGTAGCAATTGAGCGGCTCTCCCACGCCGCCCGTTGCGCTTGACATTTCCGCCTCTCGAAGCGCGTTTACTGCCTAGCGCGTTTTTGCCGCCTAAGTTTTGCACACAAGCCGCCCCACTCCCCCTTTGCTCGCGACCCCCCTGCCATGCCTCTTCGCGCGCGAGTGCGTGCCTTTCTTACGCGTCGTATTCTTACCCGCAGTCACCCACGTAGTCATTTCCTTGTCCACACCGCCCCTTCCCCCCTTGCACGTCCCGGTTCCACCCACCCCGCCGCCTAACGTCTACCTTTTTCTTGCGGCGCTTAGCTGCCGCCCTGTCTGGCAGGTGACGCTCTGAAAACTGTGGGAGATAAGAGGAATTGAATAATAAGAAAAAAAAGAACAAAACAAAAAATAAATAAAACAAAACCAGAATATCCGCAAGGCAGCTTACGCTTCGTTTTCCCCAACCCTCGAGGACTTCATCCAGTCCACATCCCCCCTCTCAATTCCACCTCACTGCACCATACCCCTGCCTTTTGCGCACCACCATTCCCGCCCCTTTCCCCCACTTCCCCGCCACGCCCCCCAACAGGCAGGCTTTTCTCCGTCCAGCCCCTTCTCTCCCTGCCCCCAGGTCCTTCGTGCACTGTCCTTTGTCATCCCTGTCCCACTCCGTACCACCTCCCCCTCGCCCAGCTTCTCCCTATCTCCACCCACATGTTCCCCCACTTCCCTGCCCACAACGTACCTCCTCCACTCCCCCCCCTGCCTTCCCCACTTCCACTCTGCCCTCCACACCTCTACGAGCCGTACTCCCCCCTCCAGCCTCCCTTTCCCCCCCACCTCCTCCCGTATCCAGCTTGGGCTGCACCTCTGCATCCCGTCCTGCCAGGCCCTTCGGTGACCCACCTGCCGCCACCTGGCAGCACACCGCCCTTCCCACCCACAGCCAAGCTCTACATCCCCTGCCCCTGCTCCCTGTGCTGTCCAGCCACCTACCCCAGCCTCCCTCTACCTTTCCCTGGCACCACACCGCCCATCCTACCCCCAGCCAAGGTCTACACCCCTAGTCTCTGCTCCCTGTGCTGTGCTGTCCAGCCCCCTTTTCCAACCTCCCTCTGCACCAGACCACCTTTCTTTCCCCCAGCCAACCTCTACACCCCCTGTTACTGTCCTTTGTGCCTTCCAACCCCCCCCAGTCTCCCCCTTCTCGAGTACCCTCCATATTTCCTCCCCCCGTGGGGCTTGCCTCTCTGCTACTATCGCTCTTTGCAGGGGAGGTGGGGGAGCGGGGGTGATGTAGCGAGAGGTGAGCAGGGTGTGGGGAAGGGTGGTGGGACCGAAGTTGGGAGGGCGGGACAGAATTCAACGGGAGGTTGGGATGGGCAGGTGAGGCAAAGGGGGGAGGGAAGGGGGGAGGGCAGAGGGGAAGGGGCAAAGGGTAGTTGGCGAGGGAGCGGGTGGTCGAGCTGGCGTGAGCCTGGTAGCGGGTAATGAGGAGGTTGGGGGGCGGGAGGTGAGAGCGTGGGAGGGCAGAGAGGGCACCAAAAAGAGGAGCTGTGGTAACTGCAAAATATAATGGGGGGCTGAAAAACAAGGGACAGAGGGGATTGGGGCCCCTATGTCCCCCCGCCCGGCCCCCCCTTGCCCCATCCTCTCCAACTGTTGGCCCCCTTCTTCAGCCCACTACGCACAGCTTTCCCCACACTCTTCCCTTTTTTCCAAGCTAACCCCCCTCACCCCGGCCTCTGACAGGGAGTATCCACTCCCTCTGACGCCATTCCCAGCCAACCCCAGCCACCCACACCACCACCACCAGGCATGCAGTCTCTGTGACAATGCCCCAGCACCCCGCATGTGGGGGAAAGGCAGACCCGAGAGCCCCTCGGCGATCTGGGAGGGCCCGCAGCCGAGCCACCCCCTACGCACCCACCCCCCCCCTTCCACGTCAATAGTAAGGAAGAAACAACCCGCTCCTGACCAAGCAAAAGCACTTAAACACTCTCACCCTAGTGGCCAGAAGCGAACCCTTGAAGAAGATGGAGCGCAGAAATGCCAAGCCCCACTGGAAGAAATACACGAGGAGGTTCCAGCGCGCTCAAAACCGTGCCCCAACCCTGCTGCCCCATCCCAGCCTACCCCCCCTCCAGGTGACAGCGGGGGTAGCACCCGTGCATGCTCAGTGGAGAGGTGCTCCAACTCACTCACTACCTCCCACTTTCAAACCAAAAAACATGTGAAAACACTTAATCCTACGCGCAACCCCAAGCACATAGGAGTGGGAGAGGGCAGAGCCTGGGAAAAACTTGCAACAGACGCTGCACGGGAAGGGGTAAGTGAGGTTGTGGGGGAAGGGGCAGCAGAGGCTGCAGAGGAAAGGGCAGCAGAGGCGGCACGGGAAGGGGCAGCAGAGGCTGCACGGGAAGGGGCAGCCGAGGCTGCATGGGAAGGGGCAGCCGAGGCTGCACGGGAAGGGGCAGCCGAGGCTGCATGGGAAGGGGCAGCCAAGGTCGCAAAGGAAGGGACAGCAAAGGCCACACAGGAAGGAGCAGCGGAGGCTGCAATTGAAGGACAAGCAGAGGCTGGAGGGGAAGGGGCAGCAAAGGCGGCAAAGGAAGGGCCAGCAGCCGACATGGAAAGGGGCAGCGGAGGCTGCAGAGGAAAAACAAGCAGAGGTTGCAGGGGTAGGGGCAGCAGAGGCTGCAGAGGAAGAGCCAGCAAAGGCTATATGGGAAGGGGCAGCAGAGGCTGCAGAGGAAGGGGCAGTAGGTGCTGCAAGGGATGGGGCAGCAAAGGCTGCCGAAGACAGCAAAGGAGTCACTGCAGGTAACGGGGCAGCGAAGGTCGTCGTGGGTGCGGCAGAGGCCGCACCAGGGGCAGCAGAGGCAGCGTTTGGGATGGCAGTAGCAAGTTGTAGGGCAGCGAAGCCTACAGCGCGAGTCTCTACCCCAGGGAGGGTTTCTACGGTAAGAAAGGCTTCAGAGGTGAGGGCAGCAGAGGGGAGTGTAGCAGGAGGAAGTGCAATGGGAGGTACAGCAAGGGAAGGGGATGCAGGGGCTGCAGAGCATGGGGGTGAATCAAAGGTGGGTGCAAGAGAAAGTGCAGCCCCGGCAGCAGCAGGAGAGAGCGCATCAGGGGCTGCAACGAGGGAGGGGACACTTGAGGCTGCTTCGGCAGCGGTGGGGAAAATAGCTAGGGCAGAAGACGCCTCCATGGAAGTGAAAAGTGCTGCAGGAGGTGCTGGCAGTGACGAGCCAGCAGGGAAAGCAGGCGCAGGGGAGAGGGGGGCAGCAAGAACAAGGGAGGTAGAATTCTCAAGGGGGGCCGGTGATACAGAACAGGAGGCACACGAGAATTTGATGCACATTGACGGCCCGCTGGTCGTCTACCTCACACTTGCCTCTGAGGCAAACCCAACCCCCCCGCAGCCTCATGGCGAGAACCTCCCTCCCCCCCCATACCCAATCCCTCCCTGGCAGGTGGACCGATGGAGGGGCTGTAGGAGACATCGAGGACAGAGCCTCTTGAGGGCGCTCCTATCTCTAAGCCTCATTTTCCTGCCCACCCTCCCCCAGGAGCACCACTTCCCCACCTTCATCCGCAGGATTTCCCTCTAGCATCCAGGAGGGCAGCCAGGGCTCTGGCCTTTCTGGCAGAGCCGTGCTCCCCAACCCCTACACAGTCCCAACACCAGCCCCCCCTCTTCCCTCAACGCCTGAACCCACGCTTGCAGGCGGACATTCAGCAGAGCACGTGGGTGCGACAAGGGCAGAGCCTCCCAAGGGCAACCCCATTCTCACCTCCCACCCTTTCCCGCCCCCTGCCTCGTCCCCAAGGGCAGCACACTCATGCCCCCACTCCTAGGGGTTCCTCCGAGCACCCAGAGGAGCAGCCAGGGCGCTGGCATTCCTAACGGAGCCATGCTCCCCGACACCTAAACCCACTCAATCATCTCCTGCCAATCTCCTACCTCCTGCCCCACCAGGTTCCCCCCCCGGCCAGAGCTACACACATCTCGTAAGTCGAGGACTCTCTCCAGCCACATCTCTCTCTCAACCCCTACATACACCCGAACCACCGAAGCCACCGCACATTCCCAACACTCTCACCCAACGGGCGGCCCTCCTCACACCACCCCCCCCAAGCAGCCAGGTCCCACCTGCAAAGACCTGTGGAGTCTCATGGGGGCGACGATACCTCGGTGGCGGGGCCACCAGCGGGAGGGGCTCTGGCCCCAACTTCCAGCATGGGGGCACAACCTCAAAATCTTCTCTCCCACTCGTTCCCCCACCCCCTGCCACCACTGAGCCATCACAAACCTTCCTCCCCCCACCGCTTGCACTTCGCTCTTACCTCTAGGCCACTCTAGCGCCTCGGCCCCCTCATACAACCCCCGCGCCCAGCCGGTTCCCCACGAATGGCCCCGTTGACCAGCCATCGCCCCCTTCGTACAGCCCGCTAAGCATGGCGATGTCATGGGGAGGAGAGGGATACACACGGAGCTTCCCCCCCCTCACCAATCACCCATGCTCCCCCCACCCACCCTCTTGGCTTCCCAATCCCCCCTTCTTTCACACCCATGCAGGCACAACGAAAACCAAGCTGGCCAACGGCGGAGGAACAGAGGCAAAGGAGGCAAAGGGTCAGCTCACCTACTCCCCCCTCCCCCCCCTCCCCTCCAGGCGCCCCCCTCTCCTCACATCCCGCTCAACCTGCACCAGGTCCTATACCTACAGGCCAACAACCTAACTCATACTTCCCTCCCGTGTCTGCCCCTCCACAGGGCCGCGGGATCAATTCCGCCCACTCCCTTTCAGGCCACCTCTCCCTTCCTCTGAACCCGCCCCAGGTGGCGGCAACTGCGTACGCTGCCGGTATGGGGGCCGACGGGATGAGGGACGAGCGCATGGGCGACACCACCGACACCCATTCGTGTCGACGGCCCCCTACCGCAACCCATGGTCATTGAGGAGGGCCAAGGGGGCTCTCTGGCGCAGGGACCACACCCGAGCTCCGCTCAGCCAGTACGCCCCATCCCACCCTCTACCTTGCCACCCCTCTTACCCTCACCAGCAGGCAGGCTGGTTGCGGGGACCCCACAGGAGATGAGGGCTGCCATTTCAGACCTGCTGGCGATACAGAGCCCCAGCAGCACCCCAGATACCCCCACCCTACCAGTCCCACAGGTCCAGAGACGGACATACGCAGAGATCACTCGATCTGTCGTTTCTTTCACCCCCCCCCCACTACTCAGCCCAGCTCGTCACTCCCATCCCCGACGGAGACGGACCTGGTTCTGAGGCCATGCCACTCGCACCCAGATGTGGTGGCGCCTCCCCCCATTCAGCCTGTTGCCCACACACTTTCCGTGACGCAGGAGGGCACCAGCATCAGGTATGAGGCATCCGCCCCTGCCGATGCCCCTCCGTCTAGGGTAGCAGAGCCGCCAGTCGGACCCCACCTCGCCGATGGAGAGGGGCACACCACAGCATGCACTTCAGACCCACCTCTACATCCCCCCTTCTTGGCCCCTGGGCCGGTACTGCCACGAGGCCCGGCCCCGTCAACTAACCCCCCACTATTACCAGTGCCACTAGCCCCACCTGTGGATGCTCTCCACAGCCGTGGAGCACCCGTTTCTACTCCCGTCATGGACGCCCCCCCACAGGTCCCTCCGGACGACGACCTCCCATCCACGGCTAGCTCCGATGGCATCATCCCGAACGACCCCGCCGATACGATCACGTCACCTGAGCATCCCGTCACATGTCCTACCTGCCGGTGCATCCTCGAGAGCACTCGAGCACTCAGGCACCATACGCCCTTCTGCCACCCGGCCGATGCAGCTCGCTGGGCACAGGCCGTGCATTACACTACCTCGATTCTTCCTCTTCTCTCACTGCCCCGTGCGACCGGGATACCGTTCCCTGACGCACAGTGGCAGACGCTCGACTCGATGGACTCGACGGGGTACCCTAGACCCGGAGGCTGCTCGCACTACCTTCCTTCTCGCTGCAGCACCGACCCTTTTCCTCGCTCCAGCGACGCCACCCGACCGCTCGCACACGGCTGCCATTACTAGGCGCATCGCCCATTTTGGCCAAGCTGAGTGGGATGAGCTACTCTCAGAGGCACTAGGTCGCCGCACACCCCTCCCTCGGCGCACATGTCACCGGTCACGCATTGCCACCGATCCCTCAACAGCAGATGAGCGTCGCATTGCGCGTTGCCTTCGGCTGGCGGCGTGCAATGAGACCTCACGGGCCTGTGCGGCTCTTGAGTCGGTAGAGCCAGCCCCAGATACACAGGGGACGATACAGCGCCTTCGGTCGAAGCACCCCAGTGCGGAAAGGCCGACCCCAGATTGGCTGTCAGAATTCCGGGGGGCTGCTCTCTTACTTTCGGCAGATTATTTACGTCGCAATATCTTCTCAACCCCGCGAGGTTCCTCAGGGGGACCGTCCGGCTGGGTCGTTGAGCACGTTCGCGACACTTTCCTGGCTTTCTCTCAGAGTCTTCATTTCCTCCTGGCTGTGTACCAGCAGTGGCTCCGAGGTCATTGCGCTCCAGCTGGACGCTCGTTGCTAGCGTCCTCCACGCTCGTGGCCCTGGCGAAGTCGAACATGGATGTTCGGCCTATTGCCGTTGGCGAGGTCTTTGTCCGCATTTTTTCGCGAGCAGTTTGTCTCCAGCTACGCGACTAGATGGCGAGGGTGTTTTTGGCGTCACAGCAGTTTGGGGTGGGGGTGACGTGCGGGACAGAGGCCGTAGTTAGAGGCGTCCGCCGCGCTCTGGCTGACCACCCAGACTGGGTGGTCATGCAGCTTGACGCGGCGAACGATTTTAACTCATTCCACCGCGACAAGATGTTTGAGGCTCCGCAGGCCAGCCCGAAATTCCACCGCCTCATTCCCTTCATCTGCTTCTTCTATGGGACGTCTTCGGACCTCCACTACAGATCAGGTACGAGGGTGGTCACGATGCACTCGGAGCGCGGCACTCGCCAGGGGACCCCCTCAGCCCCTTTTTTGTACGCTCAGACACAGCGCCTTGCCTTTGAGCCGGTTGCGACGGAGAGCAATGTTCAGGTTTGGTCGTACGCCAACGACACGTACGTGCTAGGCCCTCTGGATAGGGTGCTACACCACTTCACAGAGATCTTGAGACGCTTGGGCGAGATGGGCCTCGCGGTCCAACCGCACAAGTGCCTCGTCAACCAGACAGAGTCCTTTCTTTCCAAGGACATGGAGGCTTTCACGAGCCTGGGGATCGAGGTCGCACGCCGAGGGCTCACGGTGACAGGCGCGCCGGCGGGCAGCGTCTCGTTTGTGGAGCGCAGCCTCCCGGATCGTCTCGAGAGGATGCGGCGAGTGCTACCTTGGCTTCGAAGGTTGCGCCAGCCCCAGAAAGCCGCTCGCCTTCTTTCGGCGTGTGTCAGCACTCGCCTGCAGTACTTGTCGAGGACCGTCCCTCCCTCGCCCGCAGTGCTCTCCAGCTTCAAACGGTGAGACGCACGCCTAGGTGAGACTTTTCAGCAGCTTCTAGCGCCATGGACCTGGGCTTGTCACGAGGACGTCCGAGAGGCCGCCCTAGACCAGATCTTCCTCCCTATCCGCCTCGGGGGTTTCGGCATCCGTCGCATGATGTGCATTGCATCGGCGAGTTACTTGTCCTTTGGGTGCAGTGTGCACCCATCATCTGTTCTCTCCCTGCGTGTGGTGAGGTTTTTCGGCAGAGCTTCGCTTCACGTGAGCCAGAGCAGATCGACCGGGCTCTGCAGACGGCGCTAGAGGATCTCCCACCTGACGTTCTCTCTCTCCTCCCCTCCTGGCCCTCTTGCGCTTCTGCCTCCCCTGATTATTTTTTTGCAGGAGCGAGTCGCCTTCTGGAGGCGCATGCCTTGGAGGTCGTGCGTGCTCGTCACACCTCTCCCTTGCACCTTGCCCATTTGACTTCCCTTCAGGGCGGAGGTGCAGGAGCGTGGTTTCAGTCGGTGCCGTACGCCGATCTGCTGCGATTCCCGGAGGTGTAGTGGTAGGTGGCTTCATTATCCCGTCTTGGTGTCCCTATCCCGCAGTTAGCCCTTGCTGGTCAGTGCTCCAGTGGACAGGCGGTCGACGACATGACGGTGCCTCATAACGCGGTGCGGTGCACACGTTCGGCGTTGCCACTACCATCCACGACACCTTCAAGTTCATGCTTCGGGACTTTGCTGTAGAAGCGGGCTTCGCGGTGAAGGTGGAGGGCTCTACGCTTGCCCGGGTCCCCCCTTCATAGTCACACCTCCTGCCCCTCAACCATCCACTCGTTTACCTTCTCCTCCCCCCTCCCTCCTCTGTTGCACGCTTCTTCCTTCCTCTCGTTAACCCACTCCACTTCTTGCCCTTCCTTAATCCGCACCCTGCCCCTCGTTTCTCGCCCCCTTGCGCTTGGTTTCTCCCCTCCTTGCCCCTCGCTGCCTTTCTCCGCTCCCCTCCTCCCCCCTCTTCCCGCCCCCCCACTCTTCCTCCCCTATCCTTGGCTTCCCACCTCCCTGCCCCACGTTTCCCGCCTCCGTGTGCTCAGCCTCTCCCCTCCCTGCCTCTCCCTCATCCCCGCCCTGCCCCTCGTTTTCCGCCCCCCCACGCCCGGTTTCTCCCCTCCCTGCACCTTTCTATCTTTCTCCGTGCCTCTGCTTTGTTCCCCCTGCCCCTGGCCGCCCATGCTTCTTCCATCCCTAAGCCTACCTTGTACCCTCTCTGCCCCTGCTTTGTTTTCCCGACACCCATCGCTTCTCCCATCGCTGTCCTTCGCGCGGGCAAGCCTCCCTGGGAGCCCCCCACCCCGTTGAGTCGTTGTTCAGGGAAAAAAAAAAAAACGAAAAAAAAGAATCGGACGCGCTAAAATCGTCCTTTTTTTCCTGCTTGCCCCTCCCCGGCACATGCCGAGCGTGGGGCATGAATGGGTACAATACGAGGACTTCCCGGGAGATCACCCAGCCCAATACAGCTCTTGCCTGTTTCAGCTGCACATCCCCTACCGCTGTGGATCCGCTATAGAGACATCCACAATAACCATCTAAATCAGTCAACGTGCTGGCAAGTGAGGTCTGGGATGCGAGAGGGGGTTGCCTACACGGCCTGTGTGTCCGACTGGTCCCTGCTGCTGCGCTGGCTGCTGCCGTGTCTGGTCCCTCGATGCCTCCTCTCCGGTCGTCTCTCTCCCCCTATCCTCTCCTCCACCCACCTGTCCTCTCCCCTCCCCCTCTCTACTACCCTCCTCCACCCCTCCAAACCCCCCTGCTCGATCCCTTGTTGCCTCTCTCACATCCTGATCCTCACCTCCCAATCTCGCTGCCCCCCCTGTACCTCTGTCCGCTCTATACTACTCTCTCCCCTGCCCCACCCCTGAGCCCGAGCCCGAAAAACGTGGCTCCCGGAGCTTGCGGCCTCTGCTGGCTCTCCTGCTGCTGCCTCTGCTGTCCCCCCTTTCCGCCGTGGCTGGTCTGCTCCCCCTGCCGTCCCCTCTGCCCACCCGCCCCTTGCGCCACCCAACCACGCAGCTGATGCTGTCCCTACTGCCCTCCGCCGCCAGGCTGTCCCGCCTCGCCCCTCTGCTCCAACGGCCCACCAGCTCGCGTCCTCTCTCCCACTTCCAGCTGTCCCTGCAGTCTCGCCCGAGCTGCCTCCAGCTGTGTAAATAGCGTAGAGTTCTCCACCTTCACCGCGAAGCCCACTTCGACAGCAAAGTCCCGAAGCATGAACTTCACGGTGTCGTGGATGGTAGTGGCGACGCCGAACGTGGGCACCGCACCACGTGACGAGACACCGTCATGTCGTCGATCGCCTGTCCACAGGAGCACTGACCTGCAAGGACTAACTGAGCGATAGGGAGACCAAGACGTAATGATGAAGCCACCTGCCACTACATCTCCAGGAAGCGCAACAGATCGGCGTACGGCACCGACTGAAACCACGCTCCTGCACCTCCGCCCTGAAGGGAAGTCAAATAGGCAAGGTGCAAGGGAGAGGTGTGGCGGGCACGCACGGCCTCCAAAGCATGTGCCTCCAGAAGGCGACTCGCTCCTGCAAAAAAATAATCAGGGGAGGCAGAAGTGCAAGAGGGCCAGGAGGGAAGGAGAGAGAGAACGTCAGGTGGGAGACCCTCTAGCGCCGTCTGCAGAGCCCGGTCGATCTGCTCTGGCTCACGTGAAGCGAAGCTCTGCCGAAAAACCTCGCCACACGCAGGGAGAGAACAGAGGATGGGTGCACACTGCACCCAAAGGACAAGTGACTCGCCGAGGCAATGCGCATCATGCGACGGATGCCGAAACCCCTGAGGCGGATAGGAAGGTTTAGTCTAGGGCGGCCTCTCGGACGTCCTCGTGACAAGCCCAGGTCCCTGGCGTTAGAAGCTGCTGAAAAGTCTCACCTAGGCATGCGTCTCACCGTTTGAAGCTGGAGAGCACTGCAGGCGAGGGAGGGACGGTCCTCGACAAGTACTGCAGGCGAGTGCTGACACACGCCGAAAGAAGGCGAGCGGATTTCTGGGGCTGGCGCAACCTTGGAAGCCAAGGTAGCACCCGCCCCATCCTCTCGAGCCGATCCGGGAGGCTGCGCTCCACAAACGAGACGCTGCCCGCCGGCGCGCCTGTTACCGTGAGCCCTCGGCGTGCGACCTCGATCCCCAGGCTCGTGAAAGCCTCAATGTCCTTGGAAAGATGACTCTGTCTGGTTGACGAGGCACTTGTGCGGTTGGACCGCGAGGCCCATCTCGCCCAAGAGCCTCACGATCTCTGTGAAGTGGTGTAGCACCCTGTCCGGAGGGCCTAGCACGTACGTGTCGTTGGCGTACGACCAAACCTGGACATCGCTCTCCGTCGCAACCGGCTCAAAAGCAAGGCGCTGTGTCTGAGCGTACAAAAACGGGGCTGAGGGGGTCCCCTGGCGAGTGCCGCGCTCCGAGTGCATCGTGACCACCCTCGTACCTGACCTGTAGTGGAGGTCCGAAGACGTCCCATAGAAGAGGCAGATGAAAGGTATGAGGCAGTGGAATTTCGGGCTGGCCTGCAGAGCCTCAAACATCTTGTCACGGTGGAATGAGTTAAAATCGTTCGCCACGTCAAGCTGCATGACCACCCAGTCTGGGTGGTAAGCCAGAGCGCGGCGGACGCCTCTAACTACGGCCTCTGTCCCGCACGTCACCCCCACCCCAAACTGCTGTGACGCCAAAAACACTCTCGCCATCTAGTCGCGTAGCTGGAGACAGACTGCTCGCGAAAAAATGCGGACCAAGATCTCGCTAACGGCAATAGGCCGAACATCCATGTTCGACTTCGCCAGGGCCACGAGCGTGGAGGACGCTAGCAACGAGCGTCCAGCTGGAGCGCAATGACCTCGGAGCCACTGCTGGTACACAGCCTGGAGGAAATGAAGACTCTGAGAGAAAGCCAGGAAAGTGTCGCGAACGTGCTCAGCGACCCAGCCGGACGGTCCCCCTGAGGAACCTCGCGGGGCTGTGAAGATGGCACGACGTAAATAATATGCCGAAAGTAAGAGAGCAGCCCCCCGGAAGTCCGACAGCCGATTTGGGGTCGGCCTTTCCGCACTGGGGTGCTGCGACCGAAGGCGCTGTATCGTCCCCTGTGTATCTGGGGCTGCCTCTACTGACTCAAGAGCCGCGCAGGCCCGTGAGGTCTCATTGCACGCCGCCATCCGAAGGCAACGCGCAATGCGACGCTCATCTGCTGTTGAGAGATCGGTGGCAATGCGTGACCGGTAACATGTGCGCCGAGGGAGGGGTGTGCGGCGACCTAGTGCCTCTGAGAGTAGCTCATCCCACTCAGCTTGGCCAAAATGGGCGATGCGCCTAGTAATGGCAGCCGTGTGCGAGCGGTCGGGTGGCGTCGCTGGAGCGAGGAAAAGGGTCGGCGCTGCAGCGAGGAGGAAGGTAGGGCGAGCAGCCTCCGGGTCTAGGGTACCCTGTCGAGTCCATCGAGTCGAGCGTCTGCCACTGTGCGTCAGGGAACGGTATCCCGGTCGCACGGGGCAGTGAGAGAGAAGGAAGAACCGAGGTAGTGTCATGCACGGCCTGTGCCCAGCGAGCTGCATCGGCCGGGTGGCAGAAGGGCGTATGGTGCCTGAGTGCTCGAGTGCTCTCGAGGGTGCACCGGCAGGTAGGACATGTGACGGGATGCTCAGGTGACGTGATCGTATCGGCGGGGTCGTTCGGGGTGATGCCATCGGAGCTAGCCGTGGATGGGAGGTCGTCGTCCGGAGGGACCTGTGGGGGGGCGTCCATGACGGGAGTAGAAACGGGTGCTCCACGGCTGTGGAGAGCATCCACAGGTGGGGCTAGTGGCACTGGTAATAGTGGGAGGTTAGTTGACGGGGCCGGGCCTCGTGGCAGTACTGGCCCACGGGCCAAGAAGGGGGGATGTAGAGGTGGGTCTGAAGTGCATGCTGTGGTGTGCCCCTCTCCATCGGCGAGGTGGGGTCCGACTGGCGGCTCTGCTACCCTAGACGGAGGGGCATCGGCAGGGGCGGATGCCTCATACCTGATGCTGGTGCCCTCCTGCGTCACGGAAAGTGTGTGGGCAACAGGCTGAATGGGGGGAGGTGCCACCACATCTGGGTGCGAGTGGCATGGCCTCAGAACCAGGTCCGTCTCCATCGGGATGGGAGTGACGAGCTGGGCTGAGTAGTGGGGGGGGGTGAAAGAAACGACAGATTGAGTGACCTCTGCGTATGTCTTTTCTGGACCTGTGGGACTGGTAGGGTGGGGGTAGCTGCGGTGCTGCTTGGGCTCTGTATCGCCAGCAGGTCTGAAATGGCAGCCCTCACCTCCTGTGGGGTCCCGGCAACCAGCCTGCCTGCTGGTGAGGGTAAGAGGGGTGGCAGGGTAGAGGGTGGGGTGGGGCGTGCTTGCTGAGCGGAGCTCGGGTGTGGTCCCTGCGCTAGAGAGCCCCCTTGGTGCTCCTCAATGACCATGGGTTGCGGTAGGGGGCCGTCGACACGAATGGGGTGGGAGGAATGGGAAGAAGAGTCGGTGGTGTCACCCATGGGCTCGTCCCTCATCCTGTCGGCCCCTATACCGGCAGCGTACGCAGTTGCCGCCACCTGGGGCAGGTTCAGAGGAAGGGAGAGGTGGCCTGAGAGTGAGTGGGCGGATTCGTTTCCGCAGCCCTGTGGAGGGGCTTACACGGGAGGGGAGTGTGAGTTAGGTTGTTGGCCTGTAGGTATAGGACCTGGTGTAGGTTGAGCGGGATGTGAGGACAGGGGGGGGGGCGCTTGGAGGGGGGAGTAGGTGAACTGACCCTTTGCCTCCTTTGCCTTTGTTCTTCCGCTGTCGGCCGGCTTGGTTTTCGTTGTCCCTGTCTGGGTGTGAAGGAAAGAGAGACTGAGAAGCTAAGGGGGTGGGTGGGGGAAGCATGGGTGGTTGGTGGGGGGGGGGGGGGGGGGGGGCTCCGTGTGTATCCCTCCCCTTCCCATGACATTGCCATGCTGGGCGAGCTGTACGAAGGGGACGATGGCTGCCCAACGGGGCCATTCGTGGGGAACCGGGCCGGACTCGGGGGTTATAGGTGGGGGCCGAGGCGCTGCAGTGGCCTGGAGGTAAGAGCGAGGTGCATGAAGAGGGGGGAGGGAGGTTTGTGATGGCTTAGTGGTGGCAGGGGGTGGGGGAACGAGTGGGAGATAAGATTTTGAGGTTGTGCCCCAATGCTGAAGTTGGGGCCTCCCGCTGGTGGCCCTCCTGTAGACCCCTCCACCGAGGTGTCGTCGCCCCTATGAGACTCCACAGGTCCTTGCGGGAGGGACTTGGCTGCTTGGGGGGGGTTTGGTGTGAGGAGGGTCGCCTGTTGGGTGAGAGTATTGGGGATGTGTGGCGGCTTCGGTGGTTCGGGTGTATGTAGGGCTTGGGAGAGAGATGTTGCCGGAGAGAGGCCTCAACTTTCGAGATGTGTGTAGCTCCACGCGGGGGGGTGGGGGGACCTGGTGGGGGAGGAGGTAGGAGGTTGGCAGGAGAGGATTGAGTGGATTTTGGTGTCGGAGAGCAAGGCTCCGCCAGGAATGCCAGGGCCCTGGCTGCTTCTCTTGGTGCTCGGAGGAACCCTTGGGGGTGGGGGCATGAGTGTACTGCCCTTGGGGGCGAGGGAGGGGGCGGGGAAGGATGGGAGGCGAGAATGAGCGTGCCCTTGGGAGGCTCTGCCCTTGTCGCACCCGCGTGCTCTCCCGAGGGTCCGCCTGCAAGCGTGGTGTCAGGCGTTGAGGGAAGAGTGGGGGGCTGGTTTTGGGACTGCGTAGGGGTCGGGGAGCACGGCTCTTCCAAGAAGGCCAGGGCCCTGGCTGCCCCCCTGAATGCTAGAGGGAGACCTTGCGGGTGGGGGCGGGGAAGTGGTGCTCCTGGAGGAGGGTGGACTGGAAGATGAGGGGTAGAGTTAGGAGCGCCCTCAAGAGGCTCTGTCCTCGATGTCTTAGGGGCGGTCTGGTGCCGAGGAGAGGCGGGCGGAGGTTGGGGACAGCATAGCACGGGGAGCAGAGACTAGGGGTGTAGACCTTGGTTGGGGGTAGGAAGGGCGGTGTGGTGCCAGGGAAAGGTAGAGGGAAGCAGGGGAAGGTGGCTGGATAGCACTGGGAGCAGGGGCAGGGGGTGTAGAGCTTGGTTGGGGGTGGGAAGGGCGATGTGGTGCCAGGTGGCGG